TTTGACCCTGTTCCCCCCCCACCCACCCACCCAGCCATCCTCTCGTCACTCCCAACCCTCACATTTTTCCCCCTGTCTCCCTCATTTGCCTAATGCTATGCAGCTGAACTTTTCTTGAACCCCGGCAAGTAGGCAGCCTCACCTCCCGGTGACCCGCCGGATGACTTGGATTCGCTTCTCCGGCTCGCTCTCATCTCACCATTATTCAAGGTTTGCCACCTTGAACACTCAATGCAACACTATTACACTTGATTTTTTTTTTCCTCAAGTGCCAAGCGCCTCACCCGAGGGGGCTCCCGGGCGAGCTTTTAGCATCCAGCGTCAAGGTGACCGTCGCTTGTGTGTGTGTGTGGTTTTTTTTTTCTCACAGTAATTACAGCTTCGGTAAAATCCAGCTGTTTTCTGTTCTGCCGCCAACGTGCGTCACATCCCTGAGAGCCCCGCGTCGCTCCTCCTCAACATTGCAGCATTCCATACAGCATTGTTGTTACTTGTTATGCAGACGCAGCTTGGAGATATAAGTGCCGAAACAATCAAAGCGCAACGCGCAAAGACTCACTTTCTTTGTTCAAAATTTGGAAAAGCATTTTTTTTCCCCCCATCGAACTATTCTAGGGAACATTTTTTTTTCAATCCTGCGCTAGTGAAAGATAATTCATGATCATTAGTAGACCCAAGTCTGTTAGCATGTGGGCTAGCTTTCTGGCTCCTCGGTGGGTTATATTCCAGTCAGTGGAGGCTTTTCAGTGGCTATATTTTTGTGTCTCAAGCACGCAGCAATGTGTCGGTCAGCACAAGAAAGATGCGACATTTTTACAACATTTTGAATAGGCATGCACGCAGGGGTATTGATTTCACGCTACAGTGCAGCTCATATGAGACATCCACATCCTGTATCGTTCTTTAAAGACATTAAGCACGGAGACTGGTACGCCTGGGATGCTTCTTAAAAATGGAGCTTTATCAGCGCCACTGAATCATTCTGTTACCTATCCCATTACCTCGACAATACGCCCCCACCCATCCCCGCCCCCCCACCTGAGCCACAGCTGGCTCTCACCAACAGCACTTTGGAATGGGATTATCTGCATGGAGGGGTGCGTATGCGTGGGGGGTGCGATCTGCTCCGCCCCCACTCGCCGTGACACTTCATTCAATGCAGGGGCGGGCTGTGTTTACCCAACGTGATAAGAGCACAGTGTGCGGGCCTGAACCGTGGCAACAAGAGCCACGCCCTCACATCACCTGCACTGATAACACAGCCAGGCATTCCTTGACAGCATGAACAATTTGGGTCATGGCTGTCAGAAGATGCTAATTTGCCAGGCGGTGGGGAGAAGGTTCATCCTACCAACTGCGGTAGATCGGAAGAAGCGAAGAGATGTCACGGGGGGGATGGGCAGATAGGGGATTATACCTATTGCGTTTGTTTGTTTTGGAGATTTCAACTGGAGACGTCATGTCTCTGTTTATGTTTGATCTTTTCATTTATTCTGCTCTTGAGTTAGGATTGTATCTTCATTTTCTTCGTCGGAAGAAGCAGAAGCCCAATGGAGGTGGAATAGTGGCTACGTGGAAGGGAATAGCGGAATTTGACTTATTCTGCTCCGTGCATGCATTGTATACATCATAACCGGTTACTGGCACGGACGCAAAGTCGATACACATCTCGTTTTTCTGTTTGCGGGAAGCCGCGGAGCTGTGCGAACTTGCCCACAGTTCGGTGTGAAAGACACAGCTGATTCGACGCCACCTTTACTGATATAACTTTGCTGCGGCAATTTTGCAGAAACTGCGCGGAAGTTAAGACTCCGGCCTCGGCGTTGACCCTGAATGGGAATGAGCGTTGCAGAAAATGGATGGACATTTACAAGTTGCACGTCAAACGGCGAATAATTAATGGTGCCTGGTTGGTTTAACATGAAAGATGAGTCGCCATTCTCAGTATCTTCAGGGCTGCGTGATTGTCTAAATGGGAGAAAAAGGGGGGTCGCGTGAGGTTCACATGGCGTTATCACTGCAGTGCAGGTAGCTGGTCTTGGTCCAGCCTCAATAAGTATCATGCCTAAGAAGTTGAAGAGGCGATTTTGGCTTAAAGCAAAGTCTGATCGAGTGAGATTAAAGTCCTGATCTGCTAACTTGATATCAAGCGGCCGGCCTCGGTTGCGTGGCTGGAAAGCGGCGCGGAAAGTTCAAGCAACGCGATGGGCCCGATTAAAGCATCAATCACACATGGGAACCTCGCAGCAATGGGCGGTTATGCAAGCGATCTGGAGAAAAGCAGAAAATGAGTGTTCGGCGGAGAGCGAGGGGGGGGAGGGAGAAGGGGGAGAGGAGGAGGAGGGGGGGAGAGGAGGAGGAGGGGGGGGGCGGTGGGATTTGAGAAGAGGATTCAAAGAGTTTTATGGGCAAGGCTGGAGAGGAGATTGCTGGCTGGACCTTGAGGGTGTCAAACTATTTTTACTGCTCCCCTCTCACTGCTTTTCTTCAGGCCAATCAGGGGTGCGGGGAAGCAGTAAAGAGCTTCTCCCTAAACCATCGTCTCTGCCGAGGAGATGAGCCGTCAGGTTAAAACAAACAATAGGTTGTTACGTCATTTGGATTATTGTCTGAGATTAAAAAAAAAAAAAAAGAGCGAGTTCACTGGAGCATTTTTGACCGTTCAGCATATTCTGGACACACTCCATCAACATCTGCTTCATGTTGAAGCATTCGTTTTTCTCCCTTTGTGTCAATGAACACTCCCTAGGCAAACTATGCTTCATTAAGGTGGATGTTTCGATCCAATCGAACAAACCCAAAAGAGTTCAAGTCATGTCAAAGTCATCAAGGGGGGCCTTTGGGCACGAAACGAGGTCAAAGCAGACCAGGCCTGTCAAAAGGGGTCAACACTTGGTTGGACTTAGCGCCGTCCCCGTGATGAGATAAGGCCAGACGCTTTTTGAATTGAAGTGGACAAGGACTAATTTTGGACTTCCTGTCTGATTTGGTTGCTATGACACAGACAACGGAGCCCTCACGCCACCCTAACCCGAGCTCTCCTGCATATGTGCCTGCAGATGGCTAATGCCCAGGCACTAAAGACGTTGGGGCAAGCCCTGGCAAAGCCTTCTATCTTCCCTAAATCTTCACAGCGACCTAATACAGGCAAGCTCAACGGGGCAACGCTGGCAGAGAAACGTAGCAAAGGAAGTCGTTTTCGTGGCATGCAATGAAGTGAGAACATTTATTGGTGAATGTTTTTGTCAAGTTTTACATACAAAGTGAACACACAGAGCACCAGATGAATTTGTCCATTTGGGGGTATTAAAAACAAATAAACGAATAGGTCACTTTTTAAATTTGTTTGTTCAATAATTTCCGGTTGAGAATGGACTGAACGAATTCGACATGAATTCGGTCTAAGCGCAAATGCGAATACGACACGGCAAACCTGCATTGTCGTTTAGTTGTGACGAAGCCATGCATGCCAACAGTTTGGTACTTAACACGTATGGACACGTCCTCCATTTTCCGGCAAGGGTTGTCAGTATAGATGGAACTGATAACGGTGTCATTAAAAAAAAAAAAACAAACAAAAAAAAAAAAAAAAAAAAAAAAAAACCCAGCCACTCTGAGTCCTGTAGTCAGTTGGGGCTCCAAAATGCCATTGTTGGTACGTGTTTCCACTTGTGTAAATTTCTTGGCTTGTGCCTTATGACATGTTGACTTTGTGATTAGCACCTAGCATTAGCATGCTCACAGCATATTTGCCAGCGTCTGCCATCGCTGCATTCCTCATTGCCTGGATGTGTCTGAGTGGGCACGCCGAGTAGCTTATTGACTTTAAAGTGTACCTGAGACTCTGCTGCTTTTCGTGCGTGTACCGTACGCGTTTGTTTACACAGCTGATTTTCGTGCGCCGGCCAACCCCGACAGCTGCGCCGAGGTGTCATGAGGGGCTCGACCGTACAACGCGAGAACAAGCCTCGTCAATGAACGCTTGCACCTCGTTCTGTCAATCTACTCGGCATATTCACGAGGAAAAAAAAAAAAACGGGAACTGTAGCCGGGATGCTTTGCCGTCATTTCCTCTGCGTCTTTTTTTTTAAAAAAAAAGACCCTCTTACTGACTGTAGGGATCTTTTGAGAGCTCCGCCCTGTCATTATCCCTTCAATGTCCCTCCAACAGCAGATTCCAGCATTTATGGTACAGGCCTACATTTGCCCATAAAGCCTTTTATTGTTCAACCCAACTCTGTGGTGACCGTAACCTGGTTCTCCATTTTTTATGGGGACCTTCACTATATCACACCGGAGGAGGACAAAGCTGCCCACCATCGGTGTTTACCAAAGTATGGCCCACTCATAAATCCATCAGGGGCCGGCGGCATTCTGGAAATGCCTCAGCGGAGCAGTGGCGGGCTGGGGGGTGGTGTGTGTGTGTGTG